TGAGCACCAAATGAGCATATTGTAATTATTTCTAAAGTTTCTAAAAGATCATGTGACACTTAAGACTGGACTAATGACTGCTGAAAATTGCTAACACAGGAATAAACAACATTTCACGAAGAAAACACAGCTATTTTACATTAATATTTCCACAATATTACTGTTTTGCTGTATTTTTGATCAAATAAATGCTGAAAACCAGAAAGAGGCATTAGAAGTTGGGCTGCACAATATTAGTTGACCACCTCTAAACAGTTTTTGAATTCAAGAATAGTGTCTGAGCCCTTTGTGCATGTGACCGTATGTCAAATCCAATATGTCAAATGTCTCATGTTGCAACACTCACCACGTGCACATGTTGGCTTGGCTCTGCACAAGCCATCTGCTGAAACTTATATGGACTGATATCAATGAGCGATGACACATGACCATGGTAGGCACTGCAGGGGAAGCACACTGATTGAAATATTTGCAAGAATCAACAGAACAAAGTTCCACTATGTTTGAGAGGGCATAGGTTATCTAATCTTCTAATGATTCTTTCACTTATCAGTGTAAAATGTGGTGCAGAAAAAAAAGCAGCAGCAATACATCACATGCAATATTTGACATGGGATATGGCATTCATTTAAATGAAACCCAAAGACCAGGTGATGCATTCTTTTACACAGCAAGATTTTGCATACCAAGGCAGATGCTGACTAGTATGCATATCCATAAGCAAAACACAGTATGTCTAGATACAAGACGTAAGATTAAGTTAATATTTAAGCTGTGAGCTTCATGCTTCTAAGAAATTGGTAACTGTTTAGATCCCAGCGCAGAGAAAGTGGAGGCACAGACAGTGTGTTGTTGACTTACTTCTCTAGTGTGATGATGTCTTTGTGGCCGGTGTACTGCCAGGCCAACCTCAGGGCCAGATCATTTGCCTCAGACCTAGATGTCAAAACAGAATAGTCGATCCTGGGACTTGGTTATCAAGTGGCTGCCTTCAACAGTGAAAACAAAAAAGTGCTACCTAGTCAGCAATTGTGCAACGTTATTTATGCAATCCAGGTATTTCTCATCTTTTTCGTTGTACATGTACTGTCCTCTTGCTCTCACAATCTTGATAGGGTCATGACTGAAGAACACTTTGCAGGACGGACTACATATGGAGGGAAATGCAAATAAATTTTTTTTTAATGCCATAAATCTAAATGAAAAACAAAGAATAAAGAAACAGAAAACTTGTTTTCAGATGCTTTTTTCATCATGACAGGCACCAGTGCAAACTTTCTCCAGCCATCATTCAATTAACCAAGTTCCATTAGCTGCAATACACAGGCTACTCATCTCAAATATCCGGAGTTATTAATTCAGTGAATATGCTGTTCTGATGTTTTTAACATCAAAATCGCCACTTTACAGTAGACATTAGTTCGTATGTAATAACTGCAGTAATGTCTCCTTACCCAACATGTTTCTTTCGGAGATCGATAGTTTTCAGCTTATCTAAATTTTCCGTTGCCATTTCTGTGCCTGTAGGTGCTCACAAATGCGTGTTGACTGTTACTGGAGATAGAAAGAAGAGAAGATGTGTGCGCAAGAGAGAGAGAGAGAGAGCTATCCGCTCAAGTAATGTATATGTACACACGTGTGCGTGTGTATGTGCGTGAGAGAGAAAGAGAGAGAGAGAGGGGGGCGGGTGAAGGGAGGAGGTGGTTGTTGTGGGTGGGACAGACCCTTAAGATAACGTCAATGTCATTTCAGTTACTATTGCAAAAGTGGACTGTTCGCTGCACCGTTTATTAATGTAGATTAATAAAGACACATGAAGAAACAGAATTTATTTGGCTCCAACAGAATATCACACAGCATGGGTTTAAAACGAAGTGTCTAGAGCCATTACAACAATGAACAAATTGAAATTCCTAGTCGTTAACAAGGCAAAACTACAACAACAATAAAATGAAAATGAAAGAAATGAAGAAAGTGAAGAATTGAGCAACAAAAATTATTTAGGCTAAAATGACATTAGCTAATAATTTGATAATTGTGGGCTACCAAATTATGTACAAGGTCAATCAAATAAACAGTTGAAACACTGTATAAACACACATTTATAGACACCAAAATTATAAATTGACATTAATGACAAGGATTGAGAAAATAAAGCAATGGATTTTTTTGTTGTTGCAATAAACACATTTTGGCAAAGAAAATGAAAACAAAACAAGGAAATGTTTCATTCAAAACTGCACTAAAGATAAACAAATTAACAAAAGCTGAAAGACAAATTTATCTCCCATGTCTTCTATACAAACAAGCCAAACCTCTTGCAAAGAAAGGTTTTGTGACATTTTGTGTAGCAGTAACAATAAATGGACACACATTAAATATTTATGAAAATGCCTACAAATGGCTTTAAAAGGAAGGAAAGGAAATGATGTGACATATGCATGCACATTAACAGTGACACTTATCAGTTTAAAAACAAATATTAAAAAAACTAGCTTAGCCATTACTGTTTGTTTGTAACGGTATTCTGTACTGTTAAAACAAGTATATCCCCAGTGCCACCATAAAAGCGATTCTTACAAATTACAAAATGGCTGAGTAACAGATATCAAGATTCATTTGTGTACTCGGTGCACATTACATCAATATGTAAAAAGAAATATAAATGGCACTTTAAACAAATGGAAAAAAAAAATGACTGCACACCCATATTCCTCTATACACATATTAATCTACATTTAATGAAAAAAAGAGATGGAGAGAAAGATCTCCTTCAAATTTCCAGTCAATATTTCACTAAATTCTGAATTGATGTTTAGTGATATATTTAATGAACTGTTGGTGCAAAAACAAAAACAAAACAAAAAATACAAGATACAGTTAAGTTAAGATACAACTAAAATACAGTTGGGAAACATGTTTAAAAAAAAAAACCTACTATAATCATCACATAATCATATGGCTGAGCATGAAGTACAACACCTAAGAGATGGAGAGAAAGATCTCCTTCAAATTTCCAGTCAATATTTCACTAAATTCTGAATTGATGTTTAGTGATATATTTAATGAACTGTTGGTGCAAAAACAAAAACAAAACAAAAAATACAAGATACAGTTAAGTTAAGATACAACTAAAATACAGTTGGGAAACTTATGTTTAAAAAAAAAACCTACTATAATCATCACATAATCATATGGCTGAGCATGAAGTACAACACCTTATGGAGAAAGGTCTTTCCACTTTCATATTATGAGGAATGCCTGTTAATAAACCAGTTTGTTAACTTAACTTATTTTAAGAATAAAACATGTTGCTGTATATATAAAGTAGCAGGTAAGGGTAAAAAGAAAAGAAACCACTAAGAAAGAAATCAGTTATCCTTCCTTATGAATACCTATTAAATTCAGTACATACAAAACTACTTTCAGTATAACTATGTCTGCATTGTTCTTATGATCTGAAATGCCCATTAGAGGTTGAGAAAATCAGGACCATAATCCTGCCACCTCCAGCCAGAAAACACATTATAACACCAGCAGTGCTGTGATCATACTTTATATGTTTTAATGTATCTACTGAGTCTGAAGCCTGTTACGAAAGTTCAAAGTAATGGTCAAAATGGTTTTAAAGCTGTAAAAAATAAATTAACAAAATGATGCAATTTTGCACTCTGGAATGTAGCAGTGTGGGCTGATGATAATCACTGCTGATTTAGGATTAAGGCTCTCGATGACTGCTGTATGTTTGCGCCTTGTACTGTACATTAACACTGTATTTGATGCTATTAATATTGATTGGTTTAAAATGCTGTTGTTATGGTTACTCAGAATAGCAATACCACAAAAAAACACAGTATGTCCCATTTGTCAAATTTTCCTTTGACACCCTACGAAAGTCTTTAAGAATGTAAAACTTTCAGCTCCAACAATACATACACAGCATTTTTAACCTTAATATAGCTGCAAAAGAATGCACTAAAATGTCATATTTACAACTCATAGCATAGAGTAGTAACTATTTCCAATAAAAGAATGAATAACAAATGACTTTAGGCACAAAGGCTATAATACACAAAATGAGCAAATCAAAAAAATTAAGCAAAATGTCATAATGAAAAAGATGGCATCCTAGACATAGATCAGACTGTGTAGCTCACTGCTACAAAAAGAACCCCACTGAAGAGTGAACAAAAAAAAGTTTGCAGATGGAGGGATGAATGTAGCAACTTTCCATGCATCACGTACACCATCCAATAATAAAGATTTCTGAGTTTCAGTTGCCTGCTTACTCTCGAGCGGCCACAGATGGTGGATGCATCTTGTGTCCTGCTATTTCCATAATTTGAGTCTTTAAGTTGTCACTCTTATTACAAGGTGAGAGTTACACAACAGCAACACCGAGGCGCTGGAGGGCCAGTTGCCACACTGACCTCTTTGCAATAAAGAAATCCAGCAATCAATCACAATTCTTACTTTCTCAAGCCACCAGCCAAGGCGTGACACCCTTCACAAAGTGAAAAAAAAGAAACATTAACTTTTACTTTTAGAGTAACACATTTTTGTTTTGAATCGACAAAGACTGACAGGTTGTTAGTGATTTGCAGAAGCCATATACTTTGACCACACTACAAAGTGATATGTACATGCTTGTTCCGGGGTATGTGGATGGAGTCTTTAGTCTTTTAAGCTGATAGTATGGATTGGTGTGAACACACTAAACACACAAAGATCTTGTTCAAGACCCAAAGCTGATCCCTCAGTCGCCTCCTCCTTCTTCTTTTCAGTTAACCCCGTTAGTCTGTTTTGGTATCCACTCTCATTCTGGGCCATGCAAATCAGGGCAAACACGCCCTTGTGAATAGTCTCTTACTGGTCAAGACTTTAAATTCCACAGTGCTGATGTGAATGTTACACACGTTGCCATGAGCACACTGAAATGACAGGAACAGCTACGTGAAAGCTTCATGACGTTCTTTTCCCGGAATTAAAAAAAAAAAGTATTTACAAAAAAAGTGAAGCCTTATTTACAAACTCCATGCGTTTTGTGTTAGACCGATCACTGCAAAGAAAACACAAAGACACGTATGTTTTAATATAAAAAGGGAGAGTTTCAAAGGCCAAAGGATGTGAGGTATTCCACTCTAATACCACTCAATTGCTTACAGTGGTGGCCCAAATTAATAGAACACATGGCATATTTAAAAGGTTTCAGTTGTTTTTATTGAATTGGCAATTATAATAACCCATAAAACAAATAAAATATCTACAAAGTCATCATTATGCTCTATAAACCATAGAATAACATTATAAGGAGATTTAGCTCATTTTCCTTACAAAAAAACAAGCTAGGCCTATTTCACTGTCAGTGTCACACAATCATATTCCTTCACAGAAGAAGCCAAATTACTTGTGTAATCATTGTTAGGTGTGATCATGGTTAAATGGTGATGCAAGAGTCTTAGGACACAGCTGTGTGATTCTTTTGAATGTACAAGGCCTTTCCTGCTCATTAAGTGATTGGTAACATCAGGGTTTTGTCACTGAGGCCACACCACCAACTGGTATAAATTCAAAGCCTCTAGAAGTAGTCTTGAAGCACATGTTTATCTCTGAACATGGCTAAGGGAGAAGAAGGAGCTAACGAGTGAGCCACAGGTTCGAATAAAGGCCCTTTTTGATGCTGGCTGGAGTTACCACTGCATATCCAAGGACGTGAGATGCAGTCCAAGCACTGTAAAGTACACTTTAGACTGCTTTGATGCCAATTCACACCAGAACAGGAAGAGGAGAGGTAGAAAAAAGTGTTGTGGACTGGTGAGTCCAAGTTTGAACAGTTTGGCAACAAGCGAAGGGTGTATGTTCGATGGGGGGAGGGGAACAGATATAAAAATTAGTTTCTCTTGTCAACAATTAAACACAGAGGGGGTAGTATTATGGTGTGGGGTGTTATTTCAGCCTCAGGAACAGGTGACTTAGTGAAAATTGATGGCATCATGGATAAGAAAGTATACCACAACATTCTGGTGAGGCACGGAGTACCATTTGGGAGTCATCTTATTGGGCCTGGATTTATTTTCCATGAGGACAATATAATGACACTATGCCAGAGAGATGTGCTGCTGTAATTGCTGCAAAAGGTGGACATACCAAATATTAAAGTTGAAAGTGGATAAAAACAGTATGACTCACTTCACCTGATATTTGTTGTGCTCAGAGCAAACATCTGCATGTTTCATGAACATTATGAAATGAAATCATGTTTTGGAGGCAAAAAAGGTCAATATTTTCAGATCTGTCAGGTGTTCTAATAATTTTGGCAACCACTGCATATATGAATAAAACATTTAATGTTGTTGACAAAGCTGTGGAATTGATACCTAACATGTAATCACACTTTAAAGAATATCTATAGGATTTTTGAGGATCTTCTTAAACTTACCTTCTGCCAACATCCAGGCATTGGGAGTCCATCTGGACCCTATAGTGGAGAAAAAAGAAACAGGGAATATTATATATTAATAATATATAAATATTATATTTATATATCAATATTTTAACGTAAACAAGGCTTTCGAGGTATTGTTTAACCATGCTGAAACCCCAAAGTGGCTAACCATAATGCTATGATGTAACTAATGTAATTGTGAGACTGTGATGTGCCAAAGGTGCACGCAAAGACAATATTATACAATAATAAAAAACAAAGAAACAAAAAGTTTTAATAGATTAATTTATGTTGAAACAAACCAGACATGGTAATGAGAAGCATGTTAGCTGAATCAAAAATACAGTAATTAACAATTGGACACACTACAAACTCGTAAACATTGTAAAAAGCACAAGAAAAACTCAAGCTTAAATATTCATGCAAATTATCATTAACAATTTTACTAAAATGAAGTAGGACTTTTATATTGCATATATACTTTAAAACATACATGCCCTAATGCTCTAGCTTAATAACAAGCGTTCATTCATATATGCAAAATGACACAGTCAAATGTATAGTTAACTGAAGTCTTTAAACATGGTGATTCAGGATATGGCTTGAAGACTCAATTTCTTCTCTTCCATAGGATTGAGTGCCCAATTGGAACAGATATATGAGAGGGAACAGAAGAGGGTTAAAGGCTGGGGAAGAGCGACTCATGCTGACACTGCACTAAGTAACGTCTCAGGAGGGGTTTGACACAAGATGGATTATTTAAGGGATCCAAGGTTAATTAGTACTGGTTATTTCATCTGAGGAGAGCAAATACTATTCAATAAGCAGAAAGTATTTAATTTTTTTCACTTAGGAAAACTAGAATAAGATTAAATGTTATTCCAGAAGGTGAGAAAATCACTAAAATGCTGATAAAGGTGCTAGTGAGCAGTTAATGCAGTTTTAAGTGGCCACAAGATGCACAACTAAGTGGATAGTATATATTGCATGCAAAAGGGTGTATTAAACTATAAGGGAATAAATTACTACTATTGATGCTAAGATACAGTTGGGAAACTTATGTTAAAATGCCTTGTGACTTTACCAATAGAAAGCAGATAGTACATGCAGTACATGTGTTAAAAGGCAATGGGATACACTACATTAAGCTCTGCTCCACTATTTATGTCATGCATGGTTAAATTAAAGCTTTTTCACCAGAAGCATGCATGAGAGGTGCTCAGCAATGTGGGCGCAAAGCTGGCAGCATGCACAGAGAGGTAGGAAAAGAGGATACTGTACCAATTGGCACGGGGCATCCAGCCCATCCAGGCCAGGCTGACCTGGCTCGCCCTTTTCACCCTTAAAGCCCCGGAAACCCTGTGTCATAGAAATGGAACTGGGAGTGTTACTAGGATAGAGGCTGCAGGCGCCCTTCCGGCCTCCAGACGAGAGAGCACGGCACAGGGCAGAGAAGAGTGGTCCAGTGGTTTCTTAGCAAACCAGCGTTTCTTGATATGACCAGTGTTTTAACTTATGTACTTGTAGACCAATTTGTCCTGGCTTTTGTCCTAGAAAGCATCAGGCTTGGTTAGCTAGATTTAGGAACTCCAGTAATTTTTCGAGTAGGCTCCAGTTTTAAATGAATGTTTTTTAGAAAAACAATGCAGGTATTTCAGATATCAAGGATGAGGTGAGTTGCCATTTTGACCACGAGACTACTCTTCTCTTAAGGCTCCACTTTCTTCAGTTTTCCAGCTCTCAGCTGGGACATACCAATGGGCAGGGTGCATCTAATCCAGGGGCACCCTGTTCTCCTTTCTCCCCCTTAGGCCCCTTTTTGCCCTTCTTTCCCTTCTCCCCCTGTGGACACAATAGCTTGGTCAGTGGAAGAATATGTCTGATCAGAGAAGTTTTGTATAGTGTTTTGAGACCAGTATATGTATATGTATCTTTTTAAACTGTATTTAAAGGTGCACGTAGTAGCCTACTTTTTGTTTATATTATATTGGTTGATATGGAAGTCTTGAAGTTATATTGAAAAGTAGTGTTAACTGCATCAGGCAATAGCTGATTACATTGTATATATGCTCTATTCATTCATGAATCTGGTCTATGAACGTCTGTTCACTCACCACCATAGGTCACCCGCTCACTGCATGGACTCTCACACTACACAGACTGTTACACTATACCCTGGACTACATTTCCCATCATCCATTGCACTGATTGCACACAGCTGTAACCAATCACATGCTCACCTGAAAGCTATTACACACACTATATAACATCCACCCAGATCCTGCTCAAGTCGCCAAGTATTGTCTGCGTTTATTACTCTCCTAGTAATAGCACTTTATGGAGCCGGTTCCAGTTTTGCTAGTTTAGTCATAGTCTCGCCTTGCCTGTTTTCCTGTTTTCAGATTCTTGCCTGTGTTTTCGGATTACCCTTTTTGTCTTGCTGTTTCGGACTCTGTTTGCCCCTGCCTGGATTATTGCTATGTACCTGGATTATCTCTCTTTGCCTTGCCCTGTTGGATATTGTTCACCGTCGATCGACCCATGCCTGTTTACTGGACTGCTCTTGTGTTTTGCCTGTACCATACCCGTTCGCTGGTGTTTCGACCCTGCCTGTGTTTGTGACCACGTCTTTTAATAAAAGCTTTGCACATGGATCGGCACGTCTCATGTTCTGGTTACTCCGTAACAGAATACTCGGCCCTACAAGGATCCAGCAGCATTTCACACGGGCATTGGCCAGGTATGGATATGGCAAGACTATTATTAGCCCTCGAGCAGGGCACACGAACGCTCGAGGACTATGTACAAAAGTATTTAGATCTATCTTATTTTTCTGATCTGCCAGACTGTGTCCTGATAGACTTTTTCTGTGAGGGCATTAATCAGCCGTTAAAGTCAAAGCTCATTCGAGTGGGTCCGCGTTCATCACTCGTTCAGTTTATGGATTATGCTTTATTGACTGTTGGTTCATCATATACTGTGGGTGTCGCGGAGGAACGCGACACAGCGTCCGCTCGCAAAATGGCGGACACAACAGCGCCCCATTATATCACAGCTGCCAATCCTGAATTAAGTCAAGTCACAGCTGATCTTCCTGAATCAAGTCAAGTCACAGTTGATCTTCATGAGTCTAGTCAAGTCACGGTTGATCTTCATGAATCAAGTCAAGTCACAGTTGATCGTCATGAGTCAAGTAAAGTCACAACTGATCTACATGAGTCAAGTCAAGTCACAGTTGATCGTCATGAGTCAAGTCAAGGCACAACTGATCGTCATGAGTCAAGTCAAGGCACAACTGATCGTCATGAGTCAAGTCAAGGCACAACTGATCGTCATGAGTCAAGTCAAGGCACAACTGATCGTCATGAGTCAAGTCAAGGCACAACTGATCGTCATGAGTCAAGTCAAGGCACAACTGATCGTCATGAGTCAAGTCAAGTCACAGCTAATCTTCATGAGTCAAGTCACGTCTCAGCTGTTCATCCAGAGCCTCGTCACATCTCAGCTGTTCATCCAGTCACGTCACGTCACAGCTGATCTTCTTGAGTCACGCCACGTCTCAGCTGTTCATCCAGAGTCTTGTCACATCTCAGCAGTTCATCCAGAGTCATGTCACATCACAGCTGATCATCCAGAGTCACGTCGCATCACAGCTGATCATCCAGGGTCATGTCACGTCCTGTCTGTTACACCCAGATTATCAAGGTCAGCCCTTCGGTATCCCAGTTTGGTATCGGTCAAGCGGCATGGCATCTATTCATCGAGGTGGTGAAAGGTCTACTGGGGTACATACCAAAATTTCAACAGGTCCTTCAGTACACATACATGGCAGGGTTCGATTGGGTTCATGTCAGGTGAATTTGGAGGCTAAGGCATTCACAGCAATTCAGCATCATGTTTCTCAAATCACTTCTTGACATTTCTGGCAGTGCAGCATGGCGCATTATCCTGTTGGTAATGGCCATTACCGGCAAGGAACAAAGTTGCCATGAATGGGTGCATTGGTCTGCAATAACATTCAAATACCTGACAGGTGTCAGTGATTGTGCCCACAGGCCTGTGTCTGCACAACAGTGCATCCAGGTGCCATATCTGCTGTTGGTTATCGTCATATCCACGCTTGGCCATCGACTTGATGCACCAGTAATCTTGATTCGTCAGACCAGGCCACTTTCTTCCAATCAACCATGGTCCAATCTCGATGCTCAATGATCTTGAGCCCATTTCATGCGTTGTTGGTGATGGCATGCAGTTAGCATGGGGACCCGGCTGGGTCATTGGCTACGCAGGCCCATACGCAGAAGGCTCCAATGAACTGTGTTCTTTGACACATTGCCCTGGTCACCACTGTAGTAGCTGCTGGTGATTTGTCACACTGTGGCCTTGTCGCTGTGAACAATACGCGACAGCCTCCACTCCTTAGTTGTGGATAACACATGGCTGGAAGACGGTTCATCATTTGGCCATCCGTGCACTACTTTTAATGCATACTCACAAAAGAGGCATGTGAATAACCCACAAAGTGAGCTGTTTTCGAGATCGAAATTCCGAGGCGCTGTGCCATCACTATCTTTCCTTTATTAAAATCCGATAAATCAGCAGTTTTTCCATTCTAAAACCAAACACTCTACTGGCCGAAAGCTGGTCCTTGGGTGGTATATATACTGATTTGTGAACTGCACCTGCAGCACCATTCGGTTGCCAGCCATACTTATTGCTCTAGGCTGGCGGTGATCATAACATAATGGATCATCACTTAGCAGTTATTGAACTGAACTGTACTGAATAATGACACTACTGTGTTACTAAGTTTATTTTTTAAAGGAGTGGTTCAATGGTTTTTTTCTAGGCTTCATTGTGTTTATGGAGTGCAGTCTAACATGCTTCGTTTAAAAAAAAAGCATTATTTTTCACATAATTTACCTTTATTCCACACCGCTCTGTCCCTTCTCTGAGAAACGATTGTGTGTTATGAATGAAGACTTATGAATGAATGAAACACCTTTGTCCGCTTGAGAAACGGTGTCTCTTCTGCGGCTCGGTACGCATTTTTTTTTGTCTCGAGTAAGACACTGTATGACTTTCACGTTACGTGATTTGACTGACTTTTACGTAGAAAGGGCGACAGCGCACCGCATTAAAAGAAATGACATAAGCGGTTTTCATAACCGCTGGCCAAATTCAAAAACTAAACTAAAATCATCTTTTAGAGCAAGGGGGCCCCCTGGTGTTTCGGGGGCCCTACGCAGCTTGCGTACTTTGCATATAGGGAGGATCGGCTCTGGAACACTCTGTGCACCATTACCTACTGCAACAAAATATATTGGCAAAAATCTTTTTTCCTAGACTGAGTTGTCACAATATAAGGAATCAAATGCATAACTGAATGAAATAGTAAATGATTTAATGTGGGGAAACATTTAATATACATATATATATATATATATATATATATATAATAGTTTTACTTAAAAGTGTTGCTAGAAGGGAAAGGGAGGTTTTGAAAACAGGAAACGTTAGATGGGAAAATCAGATAAGAGGACATGGAATGAGAGACAAGATTAACAGCAGTCTTACAGGGCACAAGGGAAGAGAAAGAGAAGCAGGGAAACACCCCACAAAAGCCCACCCCCCAACAAACCACACAGGCAGAAAAACGGTATCTCCATCATGTTGTGACAAAAACAGAAAAGTCAGTTCTCTCCATTTTCTGCTTCTTGGTTATAACAGTGAATTAAACATTATGCATGAATTAAACATCATACACAAACAGTTCAAATTTGACATTACAAGAGATTACATTGATTTAGAATTTTAAATGATGACAATTAAAGAAAAAATTATCCATGGTAGATTGAATTAAACACCAAAACAAATGTGATGAAATGGTCATGCTGCATGCACACATATTTTTAGGAAAGCGATACAGTTTTCTGGAGAAAATAAAGCATAACGCATAAAGCATAAACTAGAAATAAAGCATCTTGGTCTTGGTTAGGCATGTAACCCTGGTTCCCGCAATAAAGAACAAAAAGCTGTGTCAGGAGCTGACTCCCAGGGTTGACGAATGTCTGAAGTACCCCTGTGTCACCAGAGCTTCATAAGGAAGTGCCCAAAGAATCACTATAGACTTTGATGCATTAAGTAAACAGAAGCAAATAAGTATGCTACAGGCTATGCAGAGTCTTGTTCTCTATTCAGGGAACCAGGGTTACATACATAACTGATACATACAGGTTTATGTATTCCTTTCATACGTTCACTCGACCTATGAAAGCTGTCAGTAGCTGACGCATTGGAACCCCTATACCATATACAGTATTTAAATGATAGAATTTAATAAATGTGAAGGCAAACTCATCCTGTCTATGGATTTATGCAGGAAACTACATAATGTCTGGATGAAAATTGCTAAAAGCAAGAAAAAACACCATCTTCAGGCATTGAATGTGCAATGAGAGTTGTAAAAGCTGATGGTCAAGCTGGATGACCGTTGTAGACTGCACCCCAGCCTACTAGTGAGGCATCTTTCATAATCATCTTATGAAATGATTCTCATTGCTGACATGCTAAGTCTTTTGACTGGTCTAGAATCAGCTTCAAGGTTCAGCACACGGATGCCCTGAAGTTGCAACTGAGCCAGGGCAGCATCTATGCTCTTTGTAAATGCATGAGGTGCTAAGACTAGGCCAAAAGCAATCACTCAAAATTGGCAAGCTTTGCCCCCAACATGATCTAAGTAAATCAAAATAAAATCTATTGTGATAAACCAACCTCCTTGCCAAATCTTTGTCATAATATATGCTTTTGTGTAAGCATCCTAAAAATGCACATCTGAAGAGTATAGTTCCAAGATGGGGTGTAAGGCAGGGTGCAACGTTTATTAATAGGGCGAAGACGGTACGAGATAGGCAGCAAGCATTTCTGCTGGGATTGCATATACCCCTGCTCCACTAAATCTATGATGGTGGTGAAGTCAGAAGTAGGATTACTTAGTTCGGATTAGGGACACAAACTAAGAATCTCTAATTACAAGATCTCGATCACTCATTATGGAGATCTGGAAAGAACGGAAGCAGTCTTCACAATGGACACAAAGTATAACCAGCCAGAAAGCGGTTATTCAGTTTGGACTGCTTTCCTACTGGGATGCATCTGGCCAGTCCAGTTTTACACTGTTGACAACATGTGAAACCACCTTAGTAAACTCTTTAAAAGCTTGAGAGGGCCACGCCTACTGACTGCTAGGGGTCGTCAAACCTGAAAGAAACTGCACCATGTGCACACAGCTCATCATGAGCAAATTCAACTGGAGGAATACAGTTGACATGATCAGGTGAGAGACAGGTTGGATCCCCAGGGATCTCATGAGGTGCCACAACAAGGGCACAGACAGAGTGACAGGGGGTTGACCAATCTTTTGTTCTCAAAAAGAAGGTGAGCCAGGAGCAAATCACTTAAACTTTTATTTATTTATTAGTTTTCACAGTGCACACAATCAGATGTACCACTGAGCGCTGCTCAAGCATGAGAAATTAGGTATACACTTCCTAATTGATGAGCAACAAAGACATGAGATCCAAACAAGCTGGTTGCTGAAGCATAAAATTTCAATGCAAAGAAAAAACTAAAATGTTTATCACAGGCTAGATAAATCGCTTCCTGCATGAAGAATACAAAATCTGAGGAGTTTTGGTATGGATGCTTTTCTATGGAGCACACAGTGCCTTGAGTGTTTCTATTCAGGCTTCAGACAATTTATATGGGTTTTTTGATGCAGAATCGAGTGAACCTATGAAAGGGAACCATATTTAATATATTATGAAGGTTATATTTATCATAGTCTCAGCCTCAGATGCCAAACCCTGTCATGTTAGAAGAAAGCCGTCGTGTTTACAACTGTAACAATGAGTGCTTATCAGGATCAACTAAATGCTGGATTTTCAAAAGTATGTGAAATATTCATAGTTTGTGGCATAGAATCTTAAAAATATGTCCAAGAATTTACGCACCAGTCTGTTATTGTGGCGGCATTTCCACGCCCATAAACATGATGCGGCACAAAACGAAATGTGATTGGTTGCTTTACCTGTCAGTCATATGGCCTCTTGGGCAGGCCTTAGCCATTCAAAGCAGCCAAGGTTCCCAGACCTTCTGCCTTCAGTCTGAAGGTCTGGCTACGCGAGACTATATTTATGATAACTTATAAATAAACTTAGCATTGAGGTCAATGCAGTGCAATCTGATTTACAGAACCTTACTTGAGTGGAGGAAAAAAAAACATCCAAAACAAAAAAAGAAACATCCTTTTATCGGGATACTGCATTTTAAAGATAATTTTGTAACATCCAAATAAGCCTTACAGATGTTTTTTTGAAAGTGTTTAAACAAATTTTTTTTTCATTGTTTACTCATTATTTCATTCCTGTTCATCAGATGTCTGTGAAATCTGCTCCATGTATGTAATCTTTTAATGTTCATAAAAAAATATTTACATATATTAAGAAATTTGATGAAAAAAAAAAACTGTTGAAAGTGGGATGACGTTCATTTTTTTAGTTTATTACATAATTTATAACATTTCAAAACAGAAATGTGTCAAGGTTACTGTAAATTATTTCAAGTGCCATGCTAATACATCTACAGTATAAAACTAGATGATTTTGTGTTATTAAATTAAACTACTTTTTATGACCAATATCCAGAATTATATATTTAATTAAACAACTGTATATTTAGACGTTAGGATATGTTAGGACTTAGTTTTAGACTTTTAAACAACTTAAAAACTGAAATGGGTCTGAATTTCCTGCTTACTACATATTGCAGTGGCACATTCCGTGACATTAAAAACTGAACATAGTGGCACAGTGTAAGTCTATTAAACAGGCAGGTAAAACGAAAGGAATCATGCAAGAGAAGAAGCCAATACAGGGCCATTACAAAAGCAAGAGCCTGTTGTCAATGGACTTACTCTGTATTTCTTGCTGGAGCAAGAATCACTGTATAAATATTTTCACTTGACAATAATAAACAAAGAATGATTTTTTTCTGGCTTTTATGAATATGGGATGGTAAAATGCTATGTTAGTAATGAAACTCTGAATGATGACAAACAAATATTTATACAAATACAGTTGGAGTAAAAAAAATACGTGAACCCTTTGACTATACCAGAATTTTTTTTATTAAAAATCGGCTATAAAATTTTAATGTGAACTAAACCACAACAATAGACAAACACAGTTTATTAAAACAAATGAAAGTGCCAAAAACATGGCATAAACATTCATCGTGTAGGAAGGGGAAAATGTGTGCACTCTTAGATCACCCTTAATGATTTTAAATGTATAAGGAAACCATGTTTGTCTGTTGTTTCAACTTCAGTGAAGATCAGATTAAATTGTGAGAATAATTTATGCTGAAAATCAAAGAGTTCATAAACTTTTTCCTGCAACTATAAATATTGCTATTTGCTATTGCTATTGTAGAAGAGAATCCATTAAATGTAAGATCTTCACACTGATCTTCAACTCCATGGCCCACATTCGGTCTATATAAAGGCTTTGTGCCTAAACTGCTTTGTAAATGTCCATTGACATCAGATCTAATCAATAAAGAGAGTGAAAGTTTCATTCCCTGTTTCACAACATCTATGTCACAATCACCTTTTCTCCTCTTTCCCCCATGTTGCCCTTGTCTCCCTTTAAGCCTGGTAACCCCTGCAAAAATACAACTTCAAGTAATTACAAATGCCTGGATACTCATTGGTTCAGGGGTAAAGATCTTCAAAGATATTGCTGACAGCTACTAGAGGGCAGAACAGTTGCAGGAAGCAACCCAGGAGACAATAAATGATAAGAGTCAACACACAAGCAGTAAATGAGTGACAACTTACATCCATTCCAGGTGTTCCAGCAGCTCCCTTCAAAAAAGAAGAAAAAAAGCAAAATATTTTCTGGAACTACAATACTGAATATTGTGACCATTATTAAATGGCCAAATAATTAACAAAAATGAATACTTACAGGTAACCCATATGGCCCTCTGGGTCCAGGATCACCAACATCACCCTTCTCACCCTGTGACAGGTACATTGAACAGCACCTTTTATATAAACAAATCTAGTGTCTAGTATTACCATAAACCCTTAAACATGTTAAGGCTGTGCTGTGAGGATCAGCAGGTGTCCCTGTGCTGGTCATTTTAAATCCTGAGATTAAACAGTAAAACACTGTGAGAATTCAGGTAAATCAGAGATTAAAAACATAAACTAGCATGCAATATTCATATTGTTTAAGTGTAATTGTCTACCTTACAGTTCTATGCTAAAATTAGGAAAAAAGCAGAAAACAAACATAAAATTCTAAATAAAAATAAAATAATAATAAAATTATATAAAATAATAAAACTTACTCTATCGCCCTTTGGACCTGCTGGACCAGGAGTCCCAAGTGGTCCATCCATACCCTATAAATAAAGGAGTGTATAACGTTTTGTGCTTTCATAAAAACTTACGTCAACACAGTTAATTAGGAAAATCAGGTTACCGTTTTTTTTAAGATTCTGCTCTCTATGTTAATCTTTAGACTCTATCTTTAGTAATTGGTCATGCAAATCTCAAATAAATACACGGAGGAGCATATCAAATAAATGGCATTTTAATGGATGAGCAAGTGTTAAATCTGTGTTAATGTCAAACTCAGCAGCAGAAACACAGAGTATCTCCTGTTGTTGTTTAATCTCTCACTGTCACAGAGAGCTTAACATTAATGAAACATTACCAAAGAGTCTAACCACATTCCCCCTTCACCATAAATGTGTCACATGACCTATGGAATCAAATTCCCACCAAATGTTTTGCAGTCAGGGATAAAAAAATAACAAGCGTGAAACCAAAATTTAAACACATCTAAAATCATAATGCAAAATTATCCGAATTGCACACAGAATCATGCTTTCTTATATTTCTCTGTTTTTTGTGCTCAGACAATTTCTACACATATTTTTATTTTTTGTATTTTTATGCTGTTTTCCCCTTCGCTCTTGTTTCCACATTCTGCGCTTGCTTTTCCAAATGTTGCGGTTAGAGTTTAATGTAAATCAGGGTGGGCTGAAGTGTCTTCCTCGAAATAGAGCAAAATGAGAAAATAGTTACAATTAATAGTTACTGTTAATAGTACACTCACTCAAAATATACTTCTTGTTATATTGAATCAATTCAATAAATATTTGCAATGGTCCTGATATTAGGAAAAACACTATTCCTCGTGTTTTGCTTTACTGTATGTCATAAAATAAATTATAGTGCCATTCTTTACAAACAACATTTATTTTAATGCTAAGCCTAGATCTTATTTAAAACAAAACTAAAAACTGAACCTCCTGCTGGGCTCATATAGGCTTACCTCTCATTTCCATGAGTGAATCATTAGATGTGGTGTAGCCTAACATTTGGTTGATAAACTATTAGCCTATTTATTATGTAAAGATGGCTTTGTACTTCTCTTGTATCTGAATATCTACTTAAACAACATCCTTCACATATGCAAAAAATGTGTTTGGAAAAATACCACTGCATGGCGATGCTTGCGCTGACCGGCAAAACCTACATATTGTACAAAAGACAAGTTAATTTGAGTCACCAATACCTTATGTTTAAGAGGCTGCGATGTAAAGTTTGCAATGCTATAACTGATTATATATGTTGTGTGTGCGCGGGAGGCACCGGCGCAAACACTTGGGTTCCTCATATCAGTGGAAAATGTGATAGCCTATCCGTCAGATAAGAGCAAGACATCATTCAAAATGATCTATTTTTATTTGTGTATGCTACCTTCAAAATAACAGCGAAACGTTGTACTTTTGTAAAATAAAGAAAACATACAAAATGCACTTGCCGTCTCTGTGAACCTCTTCCTGAAATGAAAGAAAAACTCAGCCATACTGTCTAATGTTATACTTGTTACACAGAATGAGACATATATTTATAGAGATCTTGAAGTGCCCGCTTTTACCTGTTTACGTTTAGCTTATTTGACATTAAATGCATTATATAAGTCACTTTATTCCATGGTCTGTCTGAATACTGGATTCTGATTGGCTGGCAGGTATGCAGTAAAACCATTTAATGCACAGGTAGTTCCAAGTCAGTTTAATCACCGCTCTATATTAATGCGCTGCTTTAATTGATTTACACTAACCAACAAGCATCACTCGCACACACACAGGAGAGAGAGAGAGGTCAGAGATCGCTGATTGCGCTGCACACAGACACAAACTTGTTGTCAATGCTTCTCCGTGATTTTCATTAATAAAATAGCCTAGATACTAGATCGCTACATTATCTTCCCCAGCAACAAGGTGGTAAAATTATGGGGGTAGAATTGTTGCTTAATTCCAAATAAATAGATTATGATCCACAAATAAATAGAATGAGATCCACAAATAAATCTTAAAGTTTCACAAACATGAATTAAATTCACAAATAAATAAAATGAGATTTGCAAATAAAAAACATATTCACAAATATATATTTATGTCACAACCACAACTTTGCCTGGCATTTATTTGTGAATCGCGTCCTGTGCATTTG